TGATTTCCCCTTCAATTTTGATTGATAGTCCTGATGAATAGAGAATTCTTGGATTCAGTCCTTTGCTTTGCATCACTTTATATACTTCCTTCCATCCCTTTTTACCCTGATGTGTTTCAGTTGAGAAGTCTTTTGATAATCTAATTGGAAATCCCTTGTAGCTAACTCTTTCTCTCTCTCTTGTAACCTTTAATATTCTCTCTTTGTCATTAATGTTTGTCATATTTACGATGTGTCTTGGTGTGGGTCTTTTTGGGTTCTTCTTGTTTGGAACTTTCTGTGCTTGTGTGATTTTCTTTTTCCCCAAATCAGGGAAGTTTTCTGACATTTTTTCAAGTAGGTTTTCTAAGCCTTGCTCTTCTTGTTCCATTCTTGCACCCCTATTATATGTATGTTGCTTTGTTTCATGTTGTCCCAAAGCTTCAATTGTAGTTCAGATTGGATGTATTTTGCTGCCCTGTCTTCTAATTTACTATTTTGGTCCTCTGCTTCTTCTAGTCCAGTGGTCACCAATCTTTTGGACTTCATGGACTACCAGTGATACGTGGACCACCCTTTGGTAACTGCTGCTCCAAAGGTTTCCTTAAACCAGCTGTTGCTAAGCTTTTAGACCTCACAGACCACCAGTGGTTTGTGGACCACTGTTTGGGAATTGCTGTTCTAGTCTACTATTGAAACCTGCAATAGTGTTTTTTAGTGTTGCTATATCACTCTTTTTTTGCCTCTTGATTCTTACATAAGTTGTTGATTTTCTCATCTATCCAGTTTACAAGCTGTATGACCCTTAATTTAAATTCTTTTTCTGACAAATTGCATGCCTTTGTTTTATTTAATTCATTTTCTTGTGATTTCCCTTTTTATTTACTTTGGGGGTTGTTTCTTTATCTTCTAGTTTTTGCTCTCACTGAAGGATATAGTCATCTAGTTGCACTGGGCCTGTGACTGCTGCAACAGGCTTGGTGGTGGCTCACTTGTTCACCAGGTCTGGGGTTGATGTGTTGGGTTTGGCAGCAATTCGAGCATATGCAGCTCCTGGGATTGCTGCATGAGCACTTGGGGTTGCTGTTTGGGGCTTGGCTGCTCATGCTTGTTTGCAGAGCCCAGGGTTGCTGTGTCAGGCTTGGAGGTGGCTAATGTTGTTGTGATATTTGGGGTTGCTGCATAAGGCTTTGGTGTTTGTATGCAGCCATGGAACCTAGGGTTGCCGTGTAAGGTTTGTCTATTTGCATAAGGATGGGAAACCTGGGGTTGCTTCATAAGGCTTGGATTGCAGTATAAGGCTTGATTGTTCATGCCCAGTCACAGAGCTTGGGGTTGCTACATAAGGTTGGCTGTTCTCATGCAGATGGGGTGCTCAGTGTTGCTGCATTAAGTTTGGCTTTTTGTGTGTGGTTGCAACCCCTGGGGCTAACTCATCTGGCCAGAAAGAGAGGAGCATGCTCCAGAATTCACAGGAGCCTGCAGCAGTGAAGGCTGTAGTCTTGGTGTTCATGGGTTCACAGCTGAGGCAGCAGATCCCTGCCCAGAGTCGCTGTTGTCTCCCGGGTGGTGTCCAAGGGATCCCTGGCTGGGCTCCCAGTCATAGCAGCTCTCCCCTTTAGGATAGCATAGCTTCTGAAGCAGAGCTGGCATCCCCAAGAGAGATTGCAGTGGTACCAGAGGCTGCCTGGCTAGGGAACTTTGTCTGCCAGCCCCCAAAAGTCCTGTGGAATCTAACTGTCCCTCACTCTCTTACCCTTTTCACTCACTCACACTCTCTCCCTCACTGCTATCCTGCCACCTATCTTCTTCCTTCTGGATTCATTTTTAGGACATTACATATAATATATATTGTGACTGGATGAAGGAGAGTCCCACTGTCCTTACCTACCATCCAGTGAAACCACTCAAGGAAATGGGCTTAGCAGAATCAGCAGAGAAGGAAGACCCTTATGAGTTTGACTCTAGTCTGGCAAGTCGAAGAGATGGGAGCGGTTTATGAGTGGGAGACCCTTGTGGGCCACAACCACCTCTCCTCACAGAGTGGGGTGTAGGGACAGGGACAGGTGGAAGTTTAAATGTGGCACTACACCTGTTAAAGTGTCCTAAGGTGAGCTCAGGAAGGACAGAAACTTCCCATGAAGCAGAAAGGCAAAAGCTCTCTTGATCTTGATTTTCTTTTAAAATTCTTTATTGTTTAAATTATTACATATGTCTCCTTTCCCCACATTGAGATCTCCCCCTTGGTCTTGATTTTTAATAGGAATACAGACCTTAAAAGCAGGGTTTCATGTTTTAAAAAGAAAAAAAAAAAGTAAAAATATATACTATGACCTTGACCTACAATTCTGATCTCTTCCTCTGACCTTTAGAAGAAATTTCTAGTATGAATTGAAAGGACATTTTCCAAAATACATTCTAAAATATGGAGATAAAACTTGTTAATTTATTTATTTAAAAAAATATATATATATATTTTATTGATTCTTTACAGAGAGGAAGGGAAAGAGATAGAGAGTTAGAAACATCAATGAGAGAGAGTCATCAATCAGCTGCCTCTTGCACGCCCCCTACCGGGGATGTGCCGGCAACCAAGTTACATGCCCTTGACTAGAATTGAACCAGGGACCTTTGAACCAGTCCACAGGCTGACGCTCTATCCACTGAGCCAAACTGGATTCAGCAAAACTTGTTAATTCATTTTAAAATGTTTAAATTATAGAAGTTTTAGAAAGACTAAGTCTCTGGCTCCTTTCTCAGTATTTTAGTGAAGTACCTATAATAATATAAGCGTAATATGCTAATTAGACCAGACAGCCATATGACCTTCTGGACAAAGCTGGGACTGCGAGGGCCGAGCCCCTTGCACAAATTTCATGCATGGGGCCTCTAGGCTAAGTGACTGACCATATGTCTGTCCAACCATTTGACTGACCAGCCAGCCAGTACATATGACATTCACTGGAAAGCCTATATAATATGCAAATTAACCACCACTCCAACACATGTCTCCCCCACCCCCCATGAACACAAGATGGCCTCCACAAGATGGCTGGCAGGGGAGGGCAGTTGCAGGAGATCAGGCCAGCAGGGAAGGCAGTGGTGCGTAATCAGGTCATCAGGGGAGGGCAATTGGGAGGGACCAGGCCTGTAAGGGAGGACAGTTGGAGGGAACCAGGCCTGCAAGGAAAGGCAGTTGGGAGCAATCGGACAGATAGGGGAGCAGTTAGGTTTCAATCAGACTGGCAGGGGAGTGGTTAGGGGTAATCAGGCTGGCAGGCAGAAGTGGCTATGGGCTATCAGGCAGGCAGACAGGCAATCAGGCAAGCTGTTGGGAGCCAGCAGTCCTGGATTGTGAGAGGGCAGTTGGACATCCCTTAAGGGGTCCCAGATTGGAGAGGGTGTAGGCTGGGCTGAGGGACACATATCTCCATGTGAATTTCGTGCACCGGGCCTCTAGTTTAAAAATAAACGTTTACTTGTAGATGTGTGATCCATATGAAGCTCTCGCTGGCACTAGTCGCAAATGGTGTTTCGATCTGTCATTGTTTATCATGAATTTGGTTGTTTTTGTTGATATTCTGAAGCTGAAATAAAGCAATGTCACTGACAGAATATGTCCGAAGACCAACTATTGGCACAATTCTTCCTGTCTGACATTAGCCTCACATTTAAATTAATTTGAAGACAGTTTCTCATGATGCCAGCATTTGCAATGACTATTAATAAATCACAAGGAGAAACTCAAGACAGAGTACCCTGTTTCCCCGAAAATAAGACAGTGTCTTATATTAATTTTTGCTCCCAAAGATGCGCTAGGTCTTATTTTCAGGGGATGTCTTCTTTTTCCATGAAGAAAAATATGGTACACATTTATTGTTAAATGAAAATAAAGGAAATTTATTACCTGTATACAGTACGGTAGTTGTCAACACAAACCAGACAAACTGTGAATCCTACAGTATCAAGAATTTACTCATTTATTCAATGACAATCATGTCATCATCTTCTGGAACATCATCATAACAATCCAATTCCTGAATTTCTTGTGACTCCATTTCTTTCAGAATCAGTGGACCAAATCTCTCATGTTTAGCAATAGCATTCTGAGACAGAGCCTAGGGGGGGATCTTATTTTCGGGGGATGCCTTATATTTCACTCAGAAGGAAACCTGTAAGTAGGTCTTATTTTCAGAGGATGTCTTATTTTCGGGGAAACACGGTAATTATATTCCTACCTGAACCTGTTTTCAGACATGGTCAATTATATGTTGCTTTCTCTTGAGTTAGAAGAGTGTGTGATGTTAAAGTTGTAAATACTTCATTACAAGGGAAATTAGTCAAGCACTCTAAAAGTGTTTTTACTCTTAACGTGGTATACAGGAAAATATTAGAACAAGTTTAATCAACTTATCAGACATTGTTTTTATCAGTGTTGTTTTTATATCATGTTTTTGTTTTTTTCATATTATGTCTTTTTCGTTATATTATGTTATTGTTTATTTATTAATCAATTTATATATTATTTTTATATACATTTTACTAATTTTCTTTCATCTCTGATACTTCTATTATAGAGAAAGAGTGAATAGCAATATTAAAATATTTCTTGTAATTAATTTTCTTTCAATGTGCACAAATCTATGTACTGATCCCACTAGTTTTAACATAATTGATTTTGCTTTATGAAATGGCTTCTCAAGCATTTTTTTTGTTTACAATGCTATATGTTGACAATCATTAAGTAAAATCAAAACAAGACTCACAAAGGAAATGCAGAAATGTTTTGAAAAGTTAGGAGGAAATGCTAAGATTACTATTGAGTGAATGATGTATTTGTTTTAAGTTAGGGAATATTTTTTAGATTTTAAAAATTAAGTCCCTAACATGAATTCAGTATAATATTGTAAAGAAATATATTATTTTTATTTTTAAAATTTAACTATTTTTATCTGCTTGCAAAAATGAACTAAAAACATTTCTGGAATTCTTACACTAAATTATTCCTATTTTCTCTTTAGCAAAATGATCAACTTATCTGAACCAGATACAATTGATGAAAGAGCCATTAATAAGAAAAAGCTGACCCCTTTCACTGTTTCTGTAAGTATTTATACTATAAAGTGTAAAATGGAAGTCTTTTATTTTTTTTAATATATTTTTATTGATTTCAGAGAGGCAGGGAGAGGGAGAGATAGAAACATCAACGATGACAGAGAATTACTGACCGGCAGCCTCCTGAATGGACCCTACTTGGAATCAAGCCCACAACCTGGCCATGTGCCCTTGACCAGAATTGAACCTGGGACCTTTCTGTCCACAGGCTGACACTTTATCCACTGAGCCAAACCAGCTAAGGCTGGAAGGCCTTTCTTAATGGATGTTTGGACCCAAGTAAAACCTATGACTTAATATAATTTCAGTTTCATATAAAAACTAGATTTTTATTAAATAAAAATTTAGCTGCATTTTGTAATCAGTGAAATTCTTCATTTAATGTAATAGTATTAAAGTTATATTATTATAATTATTGTTATTTTTATTAATGAATATTTGCTGGGTGCTGGTGTTTTTATTGGTTGGTTGGGGGGAAAGTGCATAGTTTTATCACTTCACAAAATTTTAAACTATTTTTAAAAAATATATTTTTGCTAGAGGCCTGTTGCATGAAGATTCGTGAATAGGCCTTCCTTTCCCTGGCTGCCCACACTGGTTTTCCTCCAGCACCCAGGACCCAGGCCTTTGCTCTGGCCAGAGTCTCCAATTTGGTCAGCTGGAGTCTTTGCTCCGGCCAGAGCCTTCAGTGTTTGGAGCCTTCAGTCTTCTCTCTGGCCAGAATGCCTGAAGCTCCCACCTCTCTCTACTATCCCCCACACAGCAGGCGTCCAACCCTGCCCAGCTACTGCACCTGCATATGCAAATTAACCTTCATATTTATTGTGTTAATTTGCATAGTTGCTCCTGATTGGCAGGTGGGTATCACAGAGGTATGGTTAATTTGCATATTTCTCTTTTATTCTTGTAAATTGATTTCAGAGAGGAAGGGAGAGGGAGATAGAAACATCAATGGTGAGAGAGAATCACTGATTGGCTGCCTCCTACACACCCTACACTGGGGCTCGAGCTTGTAACCTGGGTACGTGCTCTGATGGGGAGGAATCGGTAACCTCCTGGTTCATAGGTTGATGCTCAACCACTGAGTTATGCCAGCTGGGCTTTAGCTATTCTTTTTTTTTTTTTTTTTTTTAATATATTTTATTGATTTTGTACAGAGAGGAAGGGAGAGAGATAGAGAGTTAGAAACATTGATGAGAAAGAGTCATCGATTAGCTGCCTCTTGCACACCCCCTGCTGGGGATATGCCCGCAACCAAGGTACATGCCCTTGACCGGAATCGAACCCGGGTCCTTCAGTCCCCAAGCCATTTGAGCCAAACCAGTCTCGGCATCAGCTATTCTTTTTGTACTAAACTATTCTGTAGTCAGCTTGCCCATTCACATATTGTTAAAGTTCAGGAATTTATAGTTACCACACTTTTCTATCAATATGTCTAGATCAGTGCATGGATATCTATATTTATCAAGTACTAACTAGGTACTAGTCACTCTTCTAAACATACTACATGAATTATCCCTTTGACTCCTTTCCACAGCTTTAAAATAAGATACTATGACTTTAAATAGGATGAGACTGTGTCATTGAGAGGGTCCACAGTGTCCAAGTCATGGTCTGGTCCCAATGGTCTGGCTCCAGAACCCAGCCTTTTCATCCCAGTGCCATACTGCTTCTCATATGGTGGGAGCAGCAGCAACTATTTCATGTGTGATTCACAACTGCAGCTGTGAGCTAATGCTGAGCTGTTTCTTTCCTTTTTTAAAAAAATATATTTTATTGATTTTACACAGAGAGGAATTGAGAGGGATAGAGTGTTAGAAACGTCGATGAGAGAGAAACATCGACCAGCTGCCTCTTGCACCCCCCCCACTGGGGATGTGCCGGCAACCAAGGTATGTGCCCTTGACCGGAATCAAACCTGGTACCTTTCAGTCCGCAGGCCGATGCTCTATCCACTGAGCCAAACCGGTTTTGGCTGTATTCTTCTTTTTTTGTTGGCAAGTACAATCCTTGATTTTGCTGAAATTGTTAAGTCTCTCCTATAAGGAAACTATGACCTTAGGGCAGTGGCAAATGCTTAATTCTGGACTATCCAAGGGTTACTCTCATTTCTGGTCATCCTTGAGAATTATAGAGTAAGATGTTGACCAATGTAACTTTTTGTCCCCCACTGTAATACTGTTGTATATCCCTAGCAGATGCTACTATTCTTTAAAAAAGCCCATTTCTGATTATAATTGCCAGATTGTGGGGGTTTTTTGTTTTGTTTTTGTTTTCATCTTGTGTCAGGATGCTTCATCTTATATCTATGATTGTTGAAAACATTCATTTATCTCTTATTTTTAAAATATATGTCACACAATTTTTTTATGGCACTGAATCTGAAATTCAGCATTTCTTACTGTTGTATAAATTTATTTCATTTTTCTTTTAATATTTATATGCAGTGTACTCAAGAAAATAAAGAAAAAATATTCTGTAACTATTTTTCAATAGCCACAGGATGGTTCCAAGGAGCTAAGTCCTTTATAGTTTTATTTTTAGAGAGTGCATTCTTCTATCATAATAAGAGTATGTAAAAGAGTCTAGATCTCAAAGATGCTTGAAAGAGTGTGCTAATGTAAAATGAGAAAAGACAGGACTCTGGGAAGGTGCAAAGTATTACTGCAGATATTAAGTTTGTTTTGTTTATCCAGTAATTTTAGAGCTCTGGAAATAGGTCTGCTAGAAAATTACCAGTTTTTCATAAAACTTTATCCCAAAGAGGTGTAATTCATTTGTAAAAGATTGTAAAGATAGTGATAATACAGGTTTTTTTATACATTATGATGATAGGATTATATAGTATCATGATGTTTAGAAAAAGAGAGATAAAAAAGTATGAAAATGATATACCATAACTATAAAAGCAAGGGAAAGGGACACATCAGGTGGTTAATAGGAAGACTCATTGTTTTTAATCTTAGAGAATTTCTTCTACTCAGTCTACTTCTGAGCTGCATTTTCTTATCATTATTGAAAGAAAAGTGAATTATATAAATAAGACTGAAAAGCAGATTAGTGATTTAAGGATACAAAAGTAAGGAAATTAACAAGAGTTGGTATGGGAAATTGAAATCCAGTAAAATAATATACTCACATACATATAGAGATATATCCTTTATACTTACTAGTACACATATGTACAAATGTACACATAAAAATATGACCTTAATTTTACTTTACATATAGTTATAGTTAAAGGAAATTATAGAGCCCATTTGGACATTCCAAAGGAAGTAAATGTGATGATATATAAAATTATGAAATCTGAGTAACAAACCATGCCTTTATTTTTATTGGCCCAATAATTGTCTAGCACACCCCTCTCAAAATTATTACCTAAAGAGAACTCATATGGAATTGGAAGTTTGTGAAAAATGGAAATTTGCAAAGTGGAATGAATGAGAAGAATTTCATTACCTACTAGGTGTATCCGGCCACGTCTTGCTGTGGCTCAGTCTAGTTAAATGAAAAAGAAAAAAGAAAGCGCACGTTTCTAATATGTTGAATTTCACAATGTTTGTGTGTATACAATATTTTTTGTTGTTCCATTGTCTGTGCAGATATAGAGATTGTCTGGTTTGCCGACTCTAGAACATGCAACATATAATTGTCCATGTGAGAAGCAATCTGTGTCTAGATCTAAACCACACAATTCTAAAAATTGGTCCCGAGCTTTGTTGATGATGATTGCAAACACCATCGAATGGGGAATTGCAATCTCTTAAATTGAAATGGCATATCTGTTGGAATCATAGGAATTTGAGGAATGAACAAATCATCTTTGAAAGGCCCTGTCAAGATTTTTACTTCTACAACGTTGCTCATTAATTTTTGTACTGCAAGCCGCATGCCGTTGCAAAGCATTAGCTAGTTGATATTTCACAACATGATAATTGGCACACCGATTATTAATTGCAGTATGTGCGGTGGCATCCCTGGCAGATTGAGTGAATTAAAAAATTCTGTTGGATAATTAACCACTTCATCTGCTTCCACAACAGTGTTGATGGACTTGTATGTTACTGCCTCGCTTAGAATGTTAGACTGAATAATACCATGTTTCCCGAAAATAAGACATCCTCCGAAAATAAGACCTACTTACAGGTTTCCTTCTGAATGAAATATAAGGCATCCCTCCAAAATAAGGCCCCCCCCTCCCGCTAGGCTAAACATGAGAGATTTGGTCCACTGATTCTGAAAGAAATGGAGTCACAAGAAATTCACCAGGAAATTCAGGAATTGGATTGTTATGATGATGTTCCAGAAGATGATGACATGATTGTCATTGAATAAATGAGTAAATTCTTGATACTGTAGGATTCGCAGTTTGTCTGGTTTGTGTCCATGTTTCAGCCAAGTCAGAAGATAACTACCATACTACCGTACTGTATACAGGTAATAAATTTCCTTTATTTTCATTTAACAATAAATGTGTACCATATTCTTCTTCATGGAAAAATAAGACATCCCCTGAAAATAAGACCTAGCGCATCTTTGGGAGCAAAAATTAATATCATTTACGGGGAAACAGGGTATTAAGTTTGTAGACGTCTTTGTTTTTGGCAGCAAGAATAGCTCGTTCATTCAGCCAATTGCCATTCTTATGATTGGTTTGAATATTGGGAAATACTTTTTCAACCAATTCTTCTTTTGACGTCATTAAATTGCAGAAGTTATGAGGCAATGAAATTCGTCCTGAGGTCAGATTAACCAGCACCTTTCCCTTCCCAGTTTCCAGCAATTGATGTGAGAATATCTCAGCTGATAGATCATTTTGCAGCTGGACATGCATATTTGTAGTTAATTTTAATGTCTTTACATGTTGCCACAAAGTAGAGTATTTTAGGCAAGCATTCATTTGTCCACTGGTGTTGATTGACCCAGTTGGTGGAGTTTTCCCATTGTCCTTGTCTCTCCTCACTAACACAGGTCTTCAGGAAGGG